ACCATTTTCATTCCAGGTCTTCTAAGGCTTCAGAGGGGAGACACATTTGGCTAGAAATGTACTGTTCTGATTTATGGTGAGCAAGAGAAGCATTTTTCTATTTCAGCCTCATTTCCCCTCCATAACAACTTAACACATTGTACTTGCTGCATCATTTAGCTCATATAATAGTTTTTATTTGTCGTTCTTAGTTTCAAACCTGACCAAAATATCACCTAGGTTTCTGGTTGCTGAAGAGAATGAAGGCATCAACTGCTTTGTTATGAAAAGAGTACATCATTTAGATTGGTATGTTGGCTGGGACAATTACATGTATTCAGTCTCAGCTTTTCCACGATAGGGTCCACATCGTAGACTTTGGTGGGTTTAGGCCAGCAGCCATCAGCCCACTTTCTGAAAAGCTAGTTACCCTGATCTGCCCTAGCAGGGGGCAGCCACATGACCCAGGCTGGTCCAATTGCACACCCTACCCGAAATGTGAATTTTGGGCAGAGTAATGTGGAGACTAACATGGTGTGAGGTCATTCTGGCAATTGTGGCATCCTGACCAGCAATGAATTTTTTTTATTAATTATTTTTTGTTACAGATGTTTCTCCTTTTTCCCCCACTGATTCCCCCCTCTCCCTTCCTCCCTGTTCTATCCCCAGCTTTGTTGTCCATGTCCACTATTCATGCATACATGCATATAAGTTCCAGCAATGACTTTTTTCCATAGTTCTGCTTCTAGCCCTGCAGCCCATTTCCAAGCCTGGATCACTGGTCTTTCCACCTGCCCGCACAGTCCTGCTTCTTCACTACAACTTCCTTTTAATGTAAGTTAGCTGAGATCTGTTTCTGTTGCTTGTTACCAGAAAACACAAACTGACACAGCGCTCATCTTAATGTAGCTGTGAGATTTGAGGGCCATCGGAAGAGAATCCCCGATCTTACCATGGTGCTGAAATTGCCTTCTTACTCATTTCTTACTCATGTATGAAGGCATTGGAAGCTACTATTATAAAACACAAAATAATAGTTAGTAAAGGCCCTGGCCGGTTTGGCTCAGCGGTTAGAGCATCAGCCTGCGGTCCTGAGAGACCCAGGTTCGGTTCCCGCTAAGGGCACGTACCTTGGTTGCAGTTTGTCCCTGGCCCTGGTCGGTCGTGCGGGTGGCAGCCATTCGATGTGTCCCTTTCACATCGATGTTTCTCTCTCTCTCTCTCTCTTCCTCTCTCTCCCTCCCACTCTACTTGAACAAAAAATGTCCTTGGGTGAGGATAAAAGAAAAAAAAATAGTTAGTAAAGGTTGTACTTGTAGCTGTTTCTTTCCGATACTTGAGTTATCTTTTAAGGGTAGCCTCCCCTCACTTGTCAGAGAAAAGTGAACAGGACATAGAACCAGTAAGCATTGATAAGAAAGAATGAAAGCTCTGAAATACTGGCTTCTTCAAGATCTCAGGGGTGACTGAATTCTAAGGTTATGGTACCCATAAAGAAGCATGAGTTCACAAGACACCAGAGAAGGGAGAAGGGAGAAATGAATCAGGAGAGGCTGAAGACAGTCCCTTTAGCTGTTTGCCTGGTGGCAACCACACACATATGCATATAGTTTGCCACAAGGGGGCACTGCTGGAACTCTGAGAAAGGGTCTGAATAATGAATGGTGCAAGTGGAAAGTGTCTCACATTCAGCAGGAGAGTTGTGTGACAGCAGCTAAGAACAGTGACAGCAAGGAGGTGATGGTAGTTGGAATAGAGGAGGTCAAAGACTTGTGAGACCAGGACATTGGATGGGTCATTTGCATAGATGTCATTTGCACAGATTGATGACAATGGCTAGGAAGGACAGAGGTCTGTAAAGCTATTTAATGACACTTCCAATGAACAGTGGCTTTTTTTTTTTTTTTTTTTTTTTTTATCCTCACCCGAGGACATTTTTCGATATTTTGTTCAGATAGAGTGAGAGGGAGAGAGAGAGAGAGAAACATCAATGTGAAAGCGACACATCGAGTGGTTGCCACCCACACGACCCAACCAGGGCTGGGGACAAACTGCAACCAAGGTACGTGCCCTTAGCGGGAACCGAACCCGGGTCTCTCCAGACCACAGGCCGATGCTCTAACCGCTGAGCCAAACCGGCCAGGGCTGAACAGTGGCTTTTACATGGATATCAAGAAATGAGACATTGTAGTAGGGAAAAGAGGATGCCACATTCAACTCCAGACCCTGATATGTGTGCAGTGTAGAAGATGAATGATAGTCATTTGATCAAGCTACAGGGGTAGAAGTGGTTCTGAGAGAGAGGTCACTTCAGCTAAGGTTGAGAGATGGAGGAAGACATCATTGGCATGGATTAAGATGGAGCAGAGTTTGTTTACCAGACCATGGAGTATAAGTGATGGGGGAGAGGGCAGAAACGGTGAGAGTTAGTGTCCAGAACAGGAAGCTTACAACACTGTGGGAATGAGATAGTGGGAGAGGATGGATGACATAGGGGGTTTGCACACTGGATGATGGCCAGGGTCAACAGGTAAGGGAGTCATGGCTAAATGAGCTGACCTTAGGTTTCCCCACAGGAAGCAAAATATGATCCAGTGCTGGTGCAGGCTAGAACTCCATGACACTACAGGCTGTTGTTTGGAATTTAAAACAATATGTTGGTATTTAAGGGTCTAAGAAATTAGTCCCCAAAACTATGGTCTTGTGGTGGAAATGGCAGAAGCAGCCCCCAGGGATCAGGGGGAGTAGTCACCTGAGTCTGGATTGTGCTTTGTTTAAAATCCTAGGTAGGCCAAGAAAGGATTTATTTTTCTTTCACTTAATAAAATATTGAGCCGTGACCAGTCTGGGTCAGGGGTAGAGATGCCATAATGTCATCAGTGACCCAGGCTTCCTTCAGCTATGCACTCCTTCATAGGGTGTGATCCTTGCCCTCATGATCACAAAGTAGCTCATTGAGCTCCTGCCTTCACAACCACAATGAAGGCAGGAAGAAAGAGAAAGATAAATGACAAAAGTGGGCTGCCAGCTGAGAGCCCTCTTTTTAAAAATATTTTTTCTTTATTATTTTTTAGAGAGAAAGAAAGGGAGAGGGAGGGAGAGAGAGAGAAACATCGAGGAGAGAGAACATCGATCGGCCACCTCCTGCATGCTCCCCATTGGGGATTTGGCCTACAACCTGTGTATGTGCCCTGGCCTGGAATCGAATCAGCGACCTCTTGGTGCATGGGTTGACCCTCAACCACAAAGCCATACTGGCCAGTCAAAAACCCTCTTTAATGATTCTTCCTGAAAGCCCCACCAATGTTTCAGTGGCCTCCTCCAACTGAAAGAGATTTTGAAAAATGCAGTGTTTTAGTTGAGTACATTGCCCTCTCCCCTCCCCATTTATATTTATATATAGTTATATTGTAAAGAAAACAGTGAGAATGGATACTGGTTAGGTAACTAGAAGTCTCTGCAACAGATATTAGAGAAATAAGAAATAGTATTCAATTCAGTTTAGCTAAGCTTTATGCATTGATTTTTTTTTATCTATGGAAAACATGATTCCCAGGCCTCCCTATTTCATTTTTGGTTCAACATCTCTTCCTTTAATCTGGATCACTGGGACACTGTCCTTTATTACAAGTTTCCCCCCTATCTTTCTTTATTCTAAGCCACAACTATGGTCTCAAATTTCCTTGGTCACTGAATGGACAGGAAATCTTCAGATTCTACCACAGTATTTGAAACCATATGTATCAGTTAGCCCTTGCTGTGTAACAAACCACCTCACATTTTAATGACTTAAAACAACCATTTTATTATCTATTACAATTCTGTGGGCTTATCTGATGTAGCTGGGCAGGTCTTCAACTGGTCTCACTAGAAACACTATTTTTTTGGTTTCTATAATTACCAGTTATCCAACAGATACAGCTATAGTCCTGTGTAGACCTTGTGTGCCAAAATTACTTCACACTAAAGAAAAATAATATTTCCCTGTACCTCAAGAGTTTCACTATAAAAACACTTTAAGAGTGAGACTATAAATTTTAAAGATTAATAAGTGTACCACCTTCTCTCTTTCCTTCCTCCTGTGGCACAATACCTTCATTGCTTTAGGGCAGAGCAAGCAAATATCCGAAGAATCTTTTATTTGGGAACTATCTTTGAGCTATTTGTGACTTGGAATATTAAAGCAGAATATCCTTTCATCCTCAGAGAATTTACTCAGGATTCATTACCACACAAAGCTGTTCTTGGATTTGGAAGCAAAGAGAAACAATAAAGAAGGCATCCATCTTTTTTTGAGTCTTGCTACTTGCTTAATTTAGTTTTAGGTTCTCTGAGGCCTTGAATTCAACAACTTCTGCTAATTTGCATTGCATTTATGAGGCCTAATAAAGCAGCTATGTGTTCCCATAATAGAAAGTAATTTTAAGAATTTTTAAGAATGTAAAGTATTTCCATAGAGAAAAGAATAAAAACCACATTTTCCAGCAAAGCAAATAACCATACACATAACTAAACATAAAATCAAACAAGCACATTTTCTTACTTAGAAAAACTTAAACCATGACACAAGGTGATTGATTGGATATTATTACAAAGAACTGAAACATACAAGTTTGGCTATAAAAGATCAGGCTAAGCTACTTAGGTAAAAGTCGATCTGTGATGTCAGTTTCCAAGAAGTGCCATAAAAGTCACACAGTTGAACATTTCTCTGTGCTCTTATTTTGTAATTCTAGAAATGCTGTATAGAGAATTTCATCGACTTATGTAGACAAATCAAATGTAGTAGGGGTGAGGGAGGCTGAACTGACATTTCCACATTTTATTAATTCAGAAATGAATTTAAAGTAAATATTGATACATCTATGAAAGACATCTTACAATAATGTTTTTGTTGGTACATCGCAATTTTTCAGTTTGTATTTTTAAAATGGAGGGCATCTATGAAGTAATATCAAAAAACAGAGAACTGAAATTAAAAGTCAAATGTAATGTAAAGATATAAAAGACAACAGTAACATTCACGCATCCACTGATAAAAGGCCGTCTGAACATAAGCCTGACACCAGCACCACACCGTCTACTGCAATCTCTCCGGTGTTGCCCTTGCCACGTTCTGCTTCAAAAATGATCTGATAATGAAGAGGAAATAAAAAATTACTTCAATATATTCAAAACAATGATATAATCAAACTATTTAATAGTTATTAGCGAGGAATAAACTCATGTGTTCCTATTGTATAGGAACAGGCTTTGACATTTAGTAGTAGTAATATATTCTATTTTCCAGATGCTAGCCATTCGTGCTGAGTGAGTTATGTTCAGAGAAAACAGGGTAACACCTAACGAATCTGGAAAGCTGAGAAGGGTAAGGATTAAGAAGAAATTTTTGAATTCCCATTTAAAGAAAAAAAAAAGCAAAAATAAAATAATATGGTTTTCTTTAAAAAAAAAAATGGCTAGAAGAAATTTAATATTCCCTGTGAACATCCAATCCAAAACTATATAGTTGAAAGGGAATTATTATGATATATTCAGATTTTGGTAGTTTGTAGTAGTATAGTTATTTTTATTAAAATATTGATTCACCTATTCCAAAATTATCTGGCATGTCATTGTTTTCATGTGTTGAAAAAATATTTCATAATAAGTTATAATCACTTTTATCTAAGACATTTATTAATAATCAAAAGAGAAGCAGGGGGTGGGGGAGGTAGAAGAGGGTAAAGTGGGCATAAATGGTGATGGAAGGAGACTTGACTTGGGGTGGTGAACATAATACAATATACAAATAGTGTATTATAGAATTGTACACCTGGAATCTATATAATTTTATTAACCAATGTCACCCCCAATACAGTCAATACAATTTTTTTTAAAGAACAAAAGCAAAGCCCTGTCCGGTTTGATTCAATGGTTGGAGCATCAACCCGTGGACCAGAGAGGCCCAGGTTCAGTTCCCACTGGGGGCACATACCTCGGTTGTGGTTTGTCCCCGAGCCCCTGGTTGAGGTCGTGTGGGTGGCAACCACTCGATGTGTCTCTCTCACATCGATGTTTCTCTCTCTCTCTTCCTCCCTCTCTCCCTCCCGCTCTATCTAAAGATAAATGCAGAGGTGTCCTTGGGTGAGAATTAAAAAAAAAAAGAACAAAATCAAAGCAAAGTTTTTTGTATTTTAGAAATTTCTACTGTATAGAGAACAGAGGATGAATACTAAAAGAAAACTTATCTTCAAATTGGACACAAAATGACAGGGGTGACTCATTTAACAAAATTATGGCTATCCAGTGACTACTTTATATTTACCCATTCGTCTCGAAATGTTTTCAAAGAAATATTATTAAAATAAAATTTTACTGAATGATGTTTATAAGTTTCCTCAATTTTGTAATGTTTTAAAAAACACTTCATGTTAGTTTTATAATCAGAAAAAGATACCAAAATATTTTAATTCAATAATTATGAAAATAATAATAGCTACAATTTATGGAGCACCTATTAAATACCATTCATTATAAGGAGAAATAATAAAGAGGGTAATATTCCTAGTGTGCTCTTTGATTCCGTAATTCTCACTATTAGAGATCAGCAGATTTAGAGGATAGCCAAATCATTCTAATTTTTAAATGATTAAGGTTACTCTGGAACAAAAATTTTAGAGAAAAAAGAATATTTAATTTGGAACATGTTATTTGTCTATAAAATGCCACACACATGTAATTCTATCAAAATGAATTCAATATGTACTATATATATACTGTGGTTATAAATAGATTCAAATATGTATTCATGTGGAAAAGTAAAATGCAAAAAATGAAAGCATTTATGTTATTGTGGAATAATTATTAATCTTCAATTTTTTTCAATAAAGTGATTTCCTTTTGTCTTTTCTAAACATTAAAACAATGAATTCAAACTTACAGCAAATTGGCCTTGTAAAGAAAGATTCTTTAAGAATCATATCATGCTCACAACAATGTCATCATGCAACTATTCACCATCCCCAACAGCACCTCTTTCTTGCTTCATAAGTAATCATGGAATAGTTTTTTAAGGTGGCAGAGATGAGTGATTTTAGGCTCACTGTCACCACTGTGTCCTAATTTCCCAGGATCTCCAAAGAGAGAAGGGGAAAGTTCAGAGGGACAAATGGGGCAAAGAGAGATTTTGACTACCCACTGCCCAGGCTACTCTCTGTTGCCCTTAAGCTCCCTGGATTCATTTTCTTGAGAACTGCTGGAGACAAGCCATCACTGAGCAGCAAATGATAGCTCAACTGGGTATAGAAATTTCTTCTTCCCCTAGCCTCTTCTCAGGAGGGAACTGCTTTCAGGAAGATGTCCTTCTGGGTAATTTAAAAAAGGAGTGAGCCAAAGAGCAGACCTCTCACAGCAGCTGTAATACACAGGATAACGAGGGTGGGCAGTTTAGATCTTGGGATATGGCAGCATTTCTATCACTGAAATCCCTGATTGATATATTCCCAGATAAGTAAAAATAAGTATCAGGATAATTAATTGCCATCCTAATTTGTGTTTGTATTTAACTGCATTATTCTTTACCCTGGTACAAAAATATTAGGCAGGCTTCTTATGTTCTCCTTTATCAAGGAGATTTGGAATACAACAATCAAAAGCAGATTTTTCTGCAAGACAATTCCCTTCCGGATGTTTGTCCCCATAAGCTTAACATCCTTGAGCAGACAATGCTAATACAAGGCGGAGTGACCTTTGGTTCCTGGGAGATCACTTCTATGTCCTTGGAATATTCTACCTCTCCTTTTTTGTTTTTTAATTTTTCTTCTTTATTAATTTTAGAGAAAAGAAGGGATAGGGAGAGAGAGATAGAAACATTGATGAGAGAGAACACTGATCGGCTGCCTCCTGCATGCCCCTACTGGGGATTGGGCCCACAACCTGGGCATGTGCCCTGACTGGGCATTAAACCAGTGACCTCTTGGTGCATGGGTTGATGCTCAACTACTGAGCCACACCAGCCAGGCAGAAATATTCTACTTCTTAAGAGTGTCTTTGGCCATGTCAGACAGTTGATGCTAACAATGTAATTTATGGTGGGCTTGAGTCCCACAAGTATCAGCCTGACCTCTGGAGAAGCTAGAGTCTAAGTAACGTCAGCCACATGATTAGTCATGCGGGCAGGCCAATCCCTAACAAAAATCCTGATCACTAAGGCTTGGGTGAGCTTCTCTGGTGGGCAGTACTTTGTGAATATTGTCACACATCATTGTTGAGAGAATTAAGAGCTGTCTATATGACTCTACTGGTAGAAGATAACTACTATAAGCTTGTGCCCAGTCTCTCCTGGACTCTGCCCTTAGTCTATATTCTTTTGCTGTAACAGACTGTAATCATGGATATAAGAGTTTTTCTGAGTTACTTGAGTCCTTCTATGGAATCATGGAGTATGAGGGTGGTTATGGGGACCCCAGACAACAGCAATTCTCTCATTTCAGTTAAAAAAAAAAAACACAAACATTTGAAAAATAACCATCTAGTTTTCATTCACTGTGATAAGTGCTGGGCATAGAACAAAAGAGCAAGATGATCTTTTACATATTAAGGAAATTATAGCCTGGTTTGAAAGGAGGTTGGTGAGAGGAGCCTGACACACAAACAGACCATTCCCATGCAATGTGATATGTGTGCACTTGACAACTATTATCATTAACTGTACTGATTAACTGCCTCACCCATTTTGCTCCCGAATATAAGCTCTTTAAGAGTAGGGGGACAGTCTTATTTACCTTTGTAGTCCTAGTGCCTAGGTACCTTAGTAAGTGTTTTGTTAAATCATTAACAAAGAATGTAAATATCTAGTGTAATACTGTTTTTCTACTTACACTTTGGGTATTGTCAATCCCTTGATGTAACTGAATTTTCACCGTCTTCCACCTTTCATCCTCACCTTTGGTCTCCTCCCATGCCAGGGCACTGTTACTATTTTTCACAAACACTCGAAGTTTCCCTACTTTGTCTCCAGCCAGCCGGTAATGAAAGAGCAAACAGAAATTGCTTTGTGGTTGCAGGTCAGGGAGAAGAAGCTTCAGTCGGCCAAAGTCCTTCTCATGACCTGCCAGGGCTGGAACTGCCATATAGTAGCCAACAGCTTTAAGAGGAGAAAGATGCATAGTTAATGAGACCACTGTAAAGGGTTTGGCTATTGTGCATAAAATAGCTATAAAAAATGTACAATAATCTCCTATAGAGAAAGCTGAAGTCCTTTTCATTTCGAACATAGGAATAAAATTTTCATGCTAAAATGGAATTTAGGGATCACAGAGCTAAAATCCTTTTTGTGCAGAGAAGGCAACTGAGGGTCAGAGAAACTGAGGAACTTGTCCACATTCACACAGCTTGGCAGTAGCAGATATGGGGTAAGAAGCTAATTAAATGATCCTTTAATACTGTAGGTGATTTGCGGCTGATGGAGAACTTGTGCTCCAGAACTTTCCACCTTGGATTTTTGAACCGCAGAATGCATTTCCCCACTGAATCAATGATATGTATGGCAGTCAGCTCCTTAGGTGGGTCCATAGTATAGAATGTAATCCACAACATACCTGAATTTATACTAATGGATTCATGGTGCTCAACTACCATGTATAATATATTCCAACCTCTGATTTAAGATGACAGGAACATATCTTCTATTTCTAAGTACCCATTTTCTAAGTATCTTTTAATCAGTGGTAGTAGATGTTTGTTTATCTCCAATCTTCTGATTGTGGCTTTGATGAATTTGGGCAAAAACTCTCATTGAATAGGGTCTAAAGAAGGTGGTAGGAAAAAGGAATTCCTGTAGAAGCTGGTAGGAAGACACTGAAGTGGGGTGGAGTCTTCTGCTAGTGCAATTCCTGGAGACGCCTGAGAACCCACACTGACATTGCCTTAGTTTTCATTGGATCCAGAGACTGCCCAGTCTTCTTAGCCAGCTAGTAAGGTTATTAGATTCAGCAAATAAAAATACGGGATGCCCAGTGTATTTTGAATTCCAGATAAACAACATGTCTGAGATATATGAAAAAGTATTCATTGCTTATCCAAAATATAGGCATCCTATGCTTTATCTGGCAACTTTACCAGCTACAATCTCTTTTCTGTGACCCACTGTGGTAGGTTTCCCTTTCTCTCCTAGATAAAACCCACTTTAACCCATCCTTGAGATTTTATTCTTCCAGTAATGCTGATTCATCCCATGGTTATTTTTTATATTTAATTCTGTAGGGAAAGATAAGCCCACTTAGAGATGGAGATGCAGAAGAGGAAGAAGTATGATTTGGGTGATGCAAACCCCAGGGTCTTTTGTGAAACAGGTGTTTGTAAATAGGGGACTTCTCATTGATGAAAACCCAACTTAAGACATTGCTGACTATGCGAATGGTTGAGATCCTGGAATAACCTATGGGCTCCCAATATGATAGAGCTCTGGTAGATATAAATTTGGAGATTCCATGATGTTAAAAAGGAGAAACGCCTATTAGTTATTAACAAGATAGCTTCTCCAAAAATGGATAGTCTCTGGACTGGTTAAACATGCCCCGTGCTTGCTCTGATTCTTTAGTGGTAGTCCCGCTAGCACAGCTTGCTGTGTGGGGTGCATCCCCACTACCCTAATCCAAAATGCTAAGAGAAACTTTTGTTAGGAGATATCCAGGTTTCCTGATTGCATGTGACGGCTTGAAAGAAAAAAACCTCAGGAAGGAATTAATCTAGAGAAAGAATCTAGAAGAAGGATCTATTACCTGAGGGGTGAGTCTGTGCATCCACAAATAAATAATTTGTTTGGTAAGGAACTGGAGTCCCGGAAGGTATAACAGTTGTTTCTAATTATATTGAAACCCTTAGGAGACAGGGATTCAATTTATGCTCCAAATGGGATCTGCCAGCCAAATATTCTGTACAAAAGGAAAGCTAAGGCCCACTAAGGCCCACTAAGGGTGTTTAGATAGAGGGTGAAATTGGTAGCGCAGAGCTGTGGCTGAGAAAAGTCCAAGGTTAAGTGGAAAGAAAGAAATCCTCAAGGAACAGAAGAGAAAGTTCAGTCCAGGAGTGCAGGTGGCTGCTTTGATGCTCATTATGGTTTTGATGCTTTGAAGGGTGACTCCACTAAAACTCCAGGTTTAGGTACAGGTCCTATTTCCTACCAAGATTTATTCCCTGCCTACCCCCAAACAAAACTATAGAGCACCATAGGTGGTTAACTGGAAGAAAGCGACAATTTTTTTCTAACTTTTTTCTCCAACACTCTTAAGCCTTATATGAATTCCAACACTTCTCTCAGCAGCAAGAGAGTGAAAATGGAAGAGGTTTGTTGGAGCATCCTTTGTGGGGATAGATAAGCGAGAGAAGGAATGAGGAGGAGAATATATAATATGCTGAACCAAGTTAGTCATTCATCTGGTGAGACTTGGGAAGGACTAAGAGTTTCCAAACACAACAAACAACCCTGACTTAACCAGTGATAGGAATAATAAACCTCCCATTGCTGGAGAGCTTTCTTTTTCTTTTTTTTCTTTTTTTATTAATTAATTTTTGTTACAGATGTTTCTCCTTTTCCCCCCACTGATTCCCCCCTCCCCCTCCCTCCCTGCCCTTTCCCCAGATTGTTGTCCATGTCCACTGTTCATGCATACATGCATATAAGTTCTGTGGTTTATCTCTCCCCCACCACCCCCCTCTTTAGGGGATTGGCAGTCTGTACCCCGCTTCCGCGTCTCTGGGACTACCCCATTCCTCAGACTGTTATGTTCATTATATTCCACAAATAAGTGAGATCATATGAAACTTGTCTTTCTCTGTTTGGTTTGTTTCACTTAGGAGGAGAGCTTTCTTTACGTGAACCATATCTAGAACGTGAAATAGTGAAATCTAAATACCATTATCTCCATCAGCAGGACTCCAGTCAAAATCATCTTCTATATCCTGTTTCCAATCACAAACCCCATGGTTGAAGCTGCAGTCAACTGAGATGTTTAAATCTGCCAATAAAAACGGTGCATTTCATAATCTTTAAGAGCATTAGGAAAATGTCTAATAATTGGAGCTTTGGAAGGCAATGCCATGCTTTTTTTTGGTTGTTGTTTTGTTTTTTAATCTTTATTGTTGGAAGTATTACAGGTGTCCCCCATTTTTTCCCCCACTGACTCCCTCCTTCCAGTTCCCACATCTCGTACCTTCACTGCACTGTTGCCTGTGTCCATTGGTTATGCATATATGCATGTAAGTTCTTTGGTTTATCTCTTCCTGCCTCCCCAACTCTCCTTCTCTCTGAAGTTTGTCAGTCTGTTCTCTGCTTTCATGTCTCTGGATCTATTTTGTTCATCAGTTTATTTTGTTCATTATATTCCACAAGTAAGTGAGATCATGTGATACTTGTCTTTCTCTGACTGGCTTATTTCACTTAGCATATTATTCTCCAGGTGCCTCCATGCTGTCTCAAAGATCTTTCTTTTTACAATTGCATACTATTCCATTATGTAAATGTACCACAGCATGTTTTCAGTTGCTGTTGAGAGTTTAACTAAGCTACTCCATGGTGTTGCTCCCTTGGCCTCCATTTTGTTTGGCCAAGCATCCTGCGGGGGCTTTAAACTGACACTAGGTACACTCCCTAGATTATAGCCTGTAGTGTCACAAGTAAATGTAAGTTCCTGATAACTTCCCCAGTCGCCCTTGTGATAAAGAGTCTACCCTGACTCTCAGGTCCCCTTAGATAAGAATCCCATGGGGCTTATCAAATCCTTGATCTTGTTGGTTGAATGGACCAATTCAGCCTTAGCCTGGGAACCCCAAAGTGCTCCACAAATGGACTCTAATAAAGGCATGTGTCTCAGGTCCTGCCTCTTTCTCTGTAAGCACCCTGCCTTGACCTCCTCATATAGCCATGCACTTCCTCCAGGACCTGCCAGTACTAAACTTTTCTATCTCAATTTCTCTTATGGGTCTTTTGTTGAACCCCGGGGCTCTACTTAACAAATGTTAATTTAACAAAATCATAACAACTGTATGGAGTACTGGGCCAGCATCACAAGTTTGAACCAGTGCCTCTACTTACTTTTATGTAGATCAGGGGTGGGCAAACTAACATCCTGGCCCACCACTTTTTTTTTTCTTTATTGATTTTAGAGAAAGGAAGGGAGAGTGAGAGAGAGATAGAAACATCGATGAGAGAGAACACTGATTGGCTGCCTCCTACATGCCCCCTCACTGGGGATCGGGCCCACAACCTGGGCATGTGCCCTGACCAGGAATCAAACCTGCGACCTCTTGGTGCATGGGTTGACGCTCAACTACTGAGCCACCCTGGGGCACCACTGCTTGTTCTTATAAATAAAGTTTTATTGAAACACACCACACCCATTTATTACCATATTGTCTATGGCTTCTTTTGACCTACAGTGACAGAGTTGAGTAGTTACAACAAAGACTGAATGGCTCACAAAGCTCATAATGTTTAGTATCTGGTCCTTTATGGAAAAAAAATGTATTTTCATCCCTAATGTAGATAACAGCAAATACAACTGGGAAAGGGGGAGATTGAAATGCTTCTGGTCATAACTACTGCCAGCCTCTGGCTCTGACTTGGGGCTTTGGCAGTTTACACCGAGGAACAGAGGAATGACAAGGAAAGGGAAAAAAATGAAAGAGAGAACTGGCAGCAGTTGGTTTTTGACATGAAAATTTGCAAAATATTTTCACATATATTACAACATTTGATTGTTGCCAAAATTCTACAATGAGACCCATTTTCAGGAAAATAAAACCAAGGGTCATAAATGATTTGTCCAAGTCCTGTAGACATGGAGTGCTGGAATTGGACCTGAATCCTAAATCTGACTGAAATTTAGGGCCATCCATCCTGCCAATATCCTCAGCCAACACAAACACACTGCTGTTTCCCTCACTCTTCTTTCTTCTAAACATCTATTTCCCTCTATTCCAGTGAAGATAATTTATTTCTAGCCCCCGTTTTAAAACTAACAGATGTCAGGTACTACTTGCTTCCAGTCTTTATTATTCTTTAGTGAGGGCTATTACTAGTTTGAGAACTTGATGTTCCCAGCCCACAAACAGTGCAATATAAATTTTTCACTTGGTTTATAACTGTGGTAGCATATTTGTCCCCAACTTCCCCCTTCCTCAACATGCAGGAGACTGGGAATGTAAATCGGGACAATGAAATCGTATAAAGCCAACTACTCCTTAAAGAGAGAAAAGTCAAGGCTTTGGTTTCTTGAGCACAATGTTTTATTTGTACAGCACTTTATGGTTTGCAAAGTGCTTTCAAATATATTCTCTGATTTAATTCATACCACCCCTGAAACAGATCCTGTTGGTGCTGCACCAATATCTGTCAGCACTTATGTTCCCTCACAGTGCATGACTTTCTACTGCAAACACTCACAACCTTCTGCATGAAGCTATTCTCTGGCTGAAGCATGCCTGTCCCAAGCCAAGCAGAGCAGAATATCAGGAGCTATTTCTCCAGGAGACTCCTCAACCAGTGATGGACAGGTATTTATGGATAGATACCTTCATTTCCTTGCCTTTGGGTAGGACCACTAAGTGCTAGAATTGGACATGGACCTTAAGTCAGATTGAACTCCAAGTTCTTTCTAGTCTTACAGACAGTCCAGTTAGGATGGTGGTCCAGTTGCCACAGTGGTGCCCTTCCCTGCTTTTATGGCAGGCCAGGAGTACCAGGAAATTAATATCCTCCTGGGAGCAGCCTTCAATCAATGTTAGATGGGAGTTGGTGTATAAATACCCCAGCTCCTTTGCCCCTCCAGTAAGATAATTCTGAGCTACATGTCCTACACTGGCTTCCCGACTTCCCTAATGGGACTGAACTCATTACCCACAAAGGAAACTTGCTTGATAACACACTCTTTATTGCCTCCTTGTTTTCCCTGTCTCAATTCTCCACTCCAAACCACCGTTTCCTAGGCTCACCTCCCACATAAACTACTTGCACACAAATCCTTGTCTCAGGGTCTGTTTCTGAGGAACTTAGCCTAACACAGCACCTTAGAGAGGAGTGTTGTTCTTATTCCAACTTTATGTATGAAAGCAATGAGGCATCACAAATCTAATTGACTTGCCCAAGGTGAACAGCAAGTAGAAGACTTGGGGTGCCCACCTGAGTTTTCTAATTGAGACTAAATGCTCCAGCACACCTTACTCAAGGACCTTTGAAATCACAGAGTCATATGCTCATATGCAAAATTATAAACTTTCTGTGTTTCATTAAGGATCGTGGAAGAAAAAGTGAAATGTAAAACCTAGTAGGTTTGGGGATCCAAAGACGACATAAAAACTTTATTAATGTCACTCAGCAAGTGTAAAGTAGAGCTGGGATGGAAGTTCTAAGCACCTGGAGAATAGAGTTTATTCCCTGAGCTATGAAATATTTTCTTCGTAACCAGGAAAATGAGTGATATTTGATGCAGATAAAAAATCTTAAAAGGAACACAGGAGAAATGTGGAGAAAAACAAGATGTCTGTAGAAGCTGGGTTCTGGGTCATTAGTTTTTGTTTTTAAGTATAAGCTTCTCAGATTAATTTAGAGGACTGAACTAGAGAGGTACTTTCTTCATGGTGGAGATTGTCTTACAAATCCAAGGGATAGAATTGGAAAATGAGGTCATAGGGTAAATCCCAAAGGGAATCAAACTAACACAAGTTTAGGACATGTACAATGATAAGTAAAAGACAGTTTGAAAAGGAAACAGAAGATCAAGGCAGTCATATTTATACCAAGTAAAAAGCATAAATATATAAATAGGCTTTCCCCTAAGGTCTTTGTAGAGATGTCATATATAATTTATCATGGGTTGTTAAAGTGCTAAATAAACTCAGAGGAATAAGGCATCATGCCTAAGAAATTCCAGACTGAGGCTTTGATAGATCACAAAAGTGGTCCAATTTTTACCCCTGAATATATCCATGCTCTTTGCAATATAACTTTGTAGTGCCCTCCCAACTTTTCAATCTGGGCTGGCCTTGTGACTTGCCTTGGCTGATAGAATATGGTGGAAGTGATCTTGGGCCAATTCTGGGCCTAGACATCAAAAGGGCTGTGTGCTTCTGATCTCTTTTTTTTGTTCATGAGAACAAGCTTGGTTAGCCTGTTGGAGGATGAGAGACCACATGGAGCAGAGCTAAGTAAGCCCAGTTGTCCAAACTGAAGCCCCAGACATATGAGAGAGCACAGCTAAAATCACACATTCACTGAGCAGGCCCACAGCTGACTATAGACATATAGGTGAGCTCCACCTTGACCAGCTTAGATCCGTAGAACTTCTCAGTCAATGCATAGACTCATAAACAAAAATAAATATTTATTGCTATAGGCCACTGAGGGCTTGTGGTTGTTTGTTATGTAGTATTATTGTGGGCCAAATTTTAGTACCTGGTGATTTTCAGGTTGTGGAACCTCAGGGGTGAGAATTGAAGCAAATGAGTCATTTTCTCCCACCTCCATATATACAATCTGCCTCAGCTCTTTATTTTAAGTATCAGGTGGGAGTGGTAGAGAGGAGAACACAGGCCTACTATATTGTAATCATTGGTATTAATTGCGAAAGGACCTACTGTTTTCATACTGGCATTGTCACCATGTAATAATTTTTCCCTTGGGTGTTCAGGAATGAAGCAGTGACTTGTAAACAATCATCTCATCCTATGTAGCAACGAAAATTACATGGGACAGTGTGAGAGAGCATGTACTTGGAAGAAAGCATTATTTACCTCTGTGTTCCAGTCTGGATGTTGCGGCTTTTCTTTGGACCAGAACCAGACCAAATTCACCCGCTTCATTCACCTTAGGGGCTAATAGAAAACATTTGATCAATTAGGAACAACACAATAATCCCGTACACTTAGAAGGTATTAATGAACAAAGAAGGTTTTATCACATATTCTATTGACAGCATGTTAGAGCAGTACACCCTAACATTTTCAAGGCATTCGCTTGGGTCCAGTTTCCTCATCCAGAACACCTTTGTTTCCAGAGGCTCCCCCAGTTGACCTAAGCATCTACATTAATAATATGTCCCTTTTCATCAGGTTTTGGAAATATACTTTTGTGAGACTTTCACTCTCTATTAGGGGAGATGATATCATTGACACACTAATTCTTGGATGGGAGGGCCTGGGTCTACTTACCATGTGGTTAAATTCAATAGCCAAGGAGCCAAGAACAGACAAGGCAAAATATAGAGGGAGAAACAGATGCCTGGTGAAAATGAAATGGAAAATCTCAGTGTGGGGGATTCAGGGTGGGTTAATAGGAAATCCATCCTGGAGGGGCTGGGACTTATGGTGGATTCTGTAGTTATCCAGTTCATGGAGAAAACTGAAGCTTAAGCTCTACTATAGAATTTTCTTCCCTACAATTATCTACTTTGGCTTTTAAAATCATAACCACATGACTTTGAAATTCTTTCATCGAGTGGGCCTGTAAAAGTTATCTTCAAAAAGGAAAAATGTAGGGTTTGGCAGATCCATCTGGTAAGGGTCTCACTGGTTTGTGGGCTGTACTGCATGGAGATCTGGGCAGACAGATAGATAACTGTGCCTGCAGAAAAAGCAGGCTGATTTTTCTGAGAGTGGAATGAGAGGATCTGTGTCAAACAGGACACCCCCCCCACCACCACCAGGTAAGGGGAAAGGACCTATGCTCCTTGTTTCCCACAAAAGCAAATTTGATTTCATATCTACAAATGTTAGTTTCCAGACCTTATAGAGAACCCAGCTTCTTAGGACTTAAAGTCAAACCCATTTTACTTGAGGAGTGAAAATGTCTTTTTTTTTCCTTTCATTTCCCAGAGAAACAATTCATTTTTCATAAAACGTATAAAATAACAAAAGTGATACTCACAAAACACATCTCCTCGAAGGCTTTGCTCATGCTCTACATGGTTCTTCAGGGCTGTCTCATATCTTTTCTCTTCCTCTAGCCCCTCTTTCTTTCTCTTCTCATTCTCTTTTTTTCCTCCATTCAGGTTCCCATCTCTGGAAATGCTCTCTTCAGAGTCAAAGGGCTGCAAGTTACCCTTAGGGGCAGGAGTACCAGCAGGTTCTATGATGATATTTTTTATTTTTACCTTCTTTTTCATGCTGTTTTTGTGAGCAAGCAACTTCTTGATTCTGTCTTTGATAGTACCAGGGGCTTTGAGGACTTCCTTCATAGATTTTTCAGGGATAACTAAAACAAACAATAACAGGTGAGAAGTTCCACGTTGGCCAATCATTAGATAACTCATGAAAAATAGAGCATTTAAAAAGTGTTCAAGTGCAGGAAATGAATATTTCCAGAATGAACTCACATGAGGTTCTATCATTTGATATTTTCAGAAGAACTATATTTGCATCTGTTTTAGGCAGTTCCAATGTTATGGTAGTATCTTAACTACCTTTCCTTGGAGGATATACTTTTGTTTTGCTTCAGAGACTACAATGATGAATTACCTGTTCCTACCAAGTTGGGCTACAGGTTTTAGGATGATGTATTTTCCAGGGTCCTCTAATATTTCTGCTTTTACACAGGTATTCTTGAAAGCTTGTGTTGTCCACATAGCACTATAGATTTGTTCACATTTGCTATTCAAAGATTATAGCTATAGCATTAGGCTGAACCATACACATTTTTAGTAATGGGCCACTGTGACCTAAAAAAATGGTAATTTACAGTTCATGTGTACATACCTAATTTTTCTTCCCTGTTTCTCTATGCTCTGAACTTCTTAACCTCAATCCATTACTATTTAAAGAGAAATACTTTTATTTATTGAATATTTATAGAGAGGCTTCTACATTTACTGTTTTACATTAATTTCCTATTTCTCACCACTAAATTAAATTGCTTTAAAAAATGCACCTCTAGGTTGATTCCTAGTACCCCCAGTGGATCAATGACCCTTGGGGGGAAATGTTAGTGTAGAAGAAATCAAGAGGGGGAAAAAAGGTCATTTAGCCCAACACCTGTGTTTTATAGATGAGGCAACTGGGTTATGTTAAGTAACTTGCCCAAAGTCACTCAGATACCCAGGGGCAGAGCTAGGATTTGAGGATAAAACAGATGAATGACTCTTTTATTCCAGTCCTATTTCCATGAAAGTTTTATTCCTGCTTTAGGGTTAAAGATTACTTTTCTCTAGACTAGTTCAAATTGCTTGAGATCTAGAATCCAAAAATGCATGCCCCCTTTCCATGATAATTAAGAATATCCAACTGATGCAAAAAAAAAAAAAGTAATTAGAAACACTGATCTTTAAAATAAAATACATTGCCCTTTTATAAAATATCAGGCATGTGCTAGTCTAAAACTAAGCAAGAAAGGGTCTAATAACACTGGAACTAATTTATTCAATTCTACTACTTGGATATAGTTTAGAAGAAAATAAAATAAGAGAGTAGATGTCAGTTTCAGTCCCTGAAAAGAACACTATAAATGAAATTGGAAATGAATAAACGACCTGTCTTTTGCTCAAAAGAAAAAAAAGAAATTGGAAATAACATTTTTCTTGGCAATGTTTTAATCTCGTCTTCTCTTCAATTCCTTCTCCATCATTTGGCTGATTCACTCTGTACCAAAATGGTAGAAACATAAACAAGGAGAAGTCCACAATATTTTGGGCAGTCAAAAAGAGAAAGAAAAATGCTTTGAAAATATACATGCTCTTAATTGATAGTTTGCTTTTACTTTGAAATCAATCTAAGGCTGTTATAACAAGAGCTACATTCCGCTTTTCAATGAAATGTTCTAGTTATTTATTAATGTGACAGCCTGTAGTTATAGGTTTGAAACCAACTACTACTAGAACAAGTACATCATTACTCATTTTCATGATCTTCAGATGGCCTGTTTTAGCTTCTTTGCCAGAGGTTGCATGTTAAGTTTTGATTCAGTGTGCTGATCAGATATAGACCTTCCCATGGAGGCCCCACTGTATAATTCTGTGCATGGCTTCCTGAATCTTTTTCAAGGATCCAGCATGAAAAATTAACAGGAAACACCCATTCCCTGGAAACTTCCTTTATGCAATCAGTAACATGAAACTAAGGACCTTTAATAAATAATGAGGAGAGGGTTTCAACCCGCACTAGGCAAACCAAAACATCTGCTTTTAGTTTCTGCTTTGAAGTTTTGATTTTTTCTATTGAAAAAAAAAATCAAGCCATCACAACCTTTGTGGTGTCAACAATTTCACTCCCTTAGTATATAAAGAGAGAACTGGGGCAAGGATAAAGAAGCCATCCATATGCATGACCATGAATGGATAGATTTAACTTTACCTGGGTATAGTTGTTTCAAATGTGATATAATTGATTTTTTTTTCACTTTAAAACTTCTTGAGTATTGCATCATCTTCTTGAGAATATAAAAATGTGGGAGGAAGTTGCAGAAGCAGGGTCTTTGACATGTTGGAGGATCTCAGACATAAAAATTAGGAATTCTAGAGTTTTCAGATTCACAAACCAGTCTTCTGTAGATAAAGCTGGCAATTTCTCTGGGGGAGATCTGATATTTCTCTAAATACCTACTTTGTGCAAAATGTCTACCTACTTAAAAATCTAACGTTACTTAGAAAATATCGCTATAATGTGAGAACACCTTTCTCAGGAGGAATAGGACTTTGACTTTCATTCACCTATGTTTAGTTCACCAGATTATTTCTTATCATCTGGCAGGAGAAACACTCCTCTCATCTGAGCTTCAGATGCAGTCCTGGGAGGACAGGCTTAATCATAGATGAGGAATGGACCACACCATGAAATCCAGGAAACAGGAAGGGGTAAGGATGGCAGAAAAGCTAGCCATGACAGTTTGTCAGAGAGGGGCCCAGGAGTGGTCTCCATCCTAGAGGAGGAGCCATGGGTTATGGACACACCAACCTGCAATAAGCATTTGGCCCTGGAGTCCAGTTTCCTGGATCTGACTCCTAGCTCCCACATCTTCTAGTCATGTGCCCTTCAACCAACACTCAACCTCTCTTTGCCTCCATCTCCTCATTTATAAAGTTGGGTTAAGAATAGAGTTTTGGCCCTGGCTGGTTTGGCTCAGCAGTAGAGCGTCAGCCCATGGACCAATGAGTCCCAGGTTTGATTCCAGCCAAGGGCACGTACCTCGGTTGTGGTTCATTCCTGGCCCTGGTTGGGGTTGTACAGGAGGCAACCAGTCGATGTGCCCCTCTCACATCGATGTTTCTCTCTCTCTCTCTCTCTCTTTCTCTCTCTCTCTTTCTCTCCCTCTCTCTCTACCTGAAGATAAATAGAAAAAATATCCTCAGGTAAAGATTAAAAACAAATAAAAATAAATGAGTGAATACATGTTAATTACTAAGATTAGTGCCCAACATATATTTGGCCTATGTTTGCTATTATTTTTAGAATTCATCAGGAGAATGTTGAAACTCTTTTACTGAGTTTAAAAAAAAATCCAAGGCCATACATACCTCCAAACTTCTAATGTTTATGTTATAATTGAAAGAAAAAAATTGTAATGGCCTGGTTGTAGCAATACCTATGTTTTTGATTATGTCTTTTGCCCCCATTGACCCCCCTCTTCCCCTCTCCCACCCCCTTCCTGCTTTCCCCATACTATTGTCTGTGTCCATTGGTTGTGCATATATGCATATAAGTTCTTTGGTTTATCTCTTCCCAACCCCCCCCCTTTTCTCTCTGAGGTTTGTCAGTCTGTTCCCTGCTTCCATGTCTCTGGGTCTATTTTGATCGACAACTTATTTTGTTCATGACATTCCATAAATAAGTGAGATCATGTCTTGTCTTTCCCTGACTGGCTTATTTTGCTCAGAACAATATTCTCCAGTTCCCTCCATGTTGGAAGCTGCTTTTCAAAGGGAACAATTGTTGAGTTTTGGCAAAGAAGCCACTGTCACTTGTGCTCCTACTACTAGTGCATGATTATTGAGCACTTAATATATTCTGGGCTGGAGGTAACCCCTTTTTATGAACATTTATTTATTATGTGTGGCTTATTTCTTATAATTGTCAAAATAGTAGTAAGGGCCAGGTACTATTATCTTTATTTTGCAGATGTGGAAACTGAGGTATGGAAAGGTTAAGTAATGTGTTTTCAGTCCACAGGTAGTAGGCTAGGGAGCCAGGAATCAAGCTGACATAATTTGATTCCAAAAGCCATGCATCTAGTAACTCAATGACATAGTACCCTGTGGTGTTGGGTTGGAAGATGGACATTTTTTAACATTTTTTAACCTTGTATTAAGCACTCTCAACCTTGTGTTAATGCATTCTCGGAATCCTAGCTTGGGGTGGGGGGTGGGGAGTGATGGTGGTGGTGGGAACCTGGCCAGCCCAGGTGTATTAGATGCTTCATTTGCATGTGAATAAGGGTTTGTTATCTTTTGGCTTCAAGGTCTCTCCCCATAAAAAGCAAGAGACAAAACAAGGGTGTATGCAGTAATGCCATCTCAAGGAAATAATTTACTTAAATCCACTTGTGACCTGGGGGTACCAATCTGCAAATAAATGGGACTGCGTCCAGAGATCTGGAGCATTTGCTACCTTGCAAAGCTCACCTCACTCCAAGCAGCGTGTATTTATAGTTTCACTGCATTGCACTGATCCCGGCAAGCCGAGAGACAGCAGTACCCTTTTCTAAATTGACTGTTACTACCCAAGTTAGGTAATATTGAAGTTTAGATATTCTTAGAATGAGGTATAGGTGGTGTCAAATTAAGGCCAAATTATCTAACAGTGTGTTATTAATACATATATTAGAATAGCAAAAAAACACACACATAGAAATCTACATTTGGGGTGCTTCTTCCTCTGGGTACAGATGGCACATAAGGAAAATCTACTAACTCCTCTTCTCTATTGCAATGTTGATTCTGGACTTTTGCAAAACCAATGAACTCAATTTAAAGTACACCTGAGAATTACCCTACCCTGTGAAGGCGAAGCTGGGTATTTGTTCACAGACTCCTAGACTTACTGGGTATTAACTCTGGGTTGTACCTACAGGGGGCTGATCAGCCTTTTAGAGAGACTTGGAAGGCCTCAATGTAGAGAGAGAGAGGGTCTACTTCTCTGGGGCAAGGGATATGCATGGAACTGTCCTCCCCACCTTGTTGAAAGTAGAGAGCACCAAGGGACTGTGCCCTGGCCCAGTACAACCACCCACTGCAGGACTACCACGACCTTCATTTTGGATAGGAGGAAACTGAGTTTGGAGAGGGTAAGAAACTTGCTAAAGGTCATAGCCAGTATGGGGCACAGCTCAGGTTTAGATACAGGCCTTCCTAGTTCCTGAGCCTGAGCTGTTGACCATGACACCACACAATCTGAGACAAGTGAGGCTGTACTGCACATGTTAAAATTTGGTGGCCTGAAGGAACCCTCAACTATTCCTCCAATATGGAAACTGATTTATTCAGTTTCCTCTCCAGGGGCCTCTCAAGGTCATGGCATCCCTCCCACCAACCCACCAATGCTCAACCCTGCATGGGCAGCCAATCTCTGTTTTTTAATTTGCATACAGTGACTTTCTATTGTTACACACTTGGCTTATAAATTTAAGATTTTATTACCTAATAGATGATGGGAGGAAGGAGACATGGAGAGAATGCTTTATCGGGTATAGCTAAGACACATGACCAAATGCTACTTACCAGAACACTGAAGTCCACTGCCTTTATATCCCTGCTTGCACTTGCACTTGAAGGATCCTTGGGTATTGAGGCAATTGGCATAGAGGCTGCACGTATGGGTATTCACAGCACATTCATTTATATCTAAAAATGTGAACATCCTGTGAACAAGCTTGCGTAACAGGGCATGCTGAAAGACTGGCATCCCTTATATTTGGGCCAACCATCAACACCGCCAACAAACCAAGCATGGCCACAGAACTGAGAGGTGTTCCTAACCCCTGGTGCCTTGGCCCAGAGCCCCAGCTTGCCTGACACGCAGTAGGTAGGAAGTGTGTCTAGCTCACCACCCCACAGCAATTTGATCTGTTTATCAATACTACTGAAATCTGTAAGATGTTTAGGTTGTTTTCTTAACTATTTTATCTTTCTAATTTAGAATTAAATCACAATATCAGGAAATAACTTCTATGTACGAAAGGGCTTGAAACTCCTAACCAACAAAGGACAAGACTGGCTAGGAATCACTGACATCATCTGAATATATATATAGGCATTTTGTTCAAAGACTGCCAGGAGCAAGGTCAGGCTGGTCTGAGCTTGTCTGCTGGATTTGGACTAGGAAAGTTTGCTGAATTCCACCCAGGTGATGAGTGCATTAGCCCTTTTCTCCATCCCGCCTTCCAACTATGCTTTTGTAGACATATGCACATGAAATAGCCTACTGTTATTAATTTAGCTACAAAGGGAGCTCTGATGCTAATCTCAATCGCTTAAAAAAATTTTTTTTTGTTTATTGATTTGAGAGAGAGAGAAGAAGGGAGAAGAAGAAATAGAAACATCGATGAGAGAAAACATCGATTGGCCGCCTCCTACATGCCCCCCACTGGGGATCGGGCCCACAACCTGGGCATGTGCCCTGACCAGGAATCAAACTGGCAACCTCTTGGTGCATGGGTCGACGCTCAACCACTCAGCCACACTGGCTAGACTCAATCATTTTTAAAATCACAAAGATTCGTTTCCTTTGGAAGCTCTCCATGTGACTTCACACCCTGTCCTATGGAATCTCCCTGTAATTCTCAGACACCAGGCTTCTGCTCTGTGACATGGTATCACCAATTACAGAGCTGGACAGGTCTGCAGCAGAGTGTGGGCTCCAAGACCAAGAGAAACGGGGATTTTACCAGCCTGTCTAAGGTGGCCTTTGTGTTTGAGAAGATTTGAGGGAAGAGCTGTGGAAGTGTCGCAAGACCGTTCCAAACCCAGGAACTGAGTGTTGCCCCAACATGATGAAGAGGGATGCATCCTAAGAAGCTCTGAGTGTAGGGTTGAATGAAATCCGACTTTTCCCCTGTTAGTTTTCCATGTCATGTGCACATTTGCTACGCACGTTATGTGACAAGAATTCTACAGGGAGCCTGAACTGCCCTTCGCTGTAGGATAGGCCTTGTCTCACACTATATCAAGGTGATGGGAATGTATCCAAGGGCTCCACAAATGCCCCCATTTCACATGTTCATTGAGACTTGGAATCCCTTCGCTAAGAGATACATTTTTGTTGTTGTTGTTAATCCTCACCAGAAGATATTTTTCCACTGATTTTTAGATAGAGTGGAAAGGAGGGAGGGAGAGAGAAACATCTATGTGAGAGAGACACATCGATGGTTTGCCTCATGTACAACCCCAACCAGAGCCGGGGATTGAACCTGCAACCCAGGTATGTGCCCTTGACCAGGAATTGAACCTGCAACCCTTCAGTTCTTGGGCCGGCGCTCTAATTGCTGAGCCAAACTGGCCAGGGTGGGATACATATTTTATTTTACACAGAACAGGCCCATAGCTGACTGATACCAGAATCTTAGCAGTGTGATTTTGGTGACCCTGGAAAGGGGATGTGGAGCTTGAATCATGACAGGGCTGAAAGGGGAGAGAGGAAAGAGCATGTGCCTTCAACTCCTTTAGCCATTTTCCCAAAGCCACCCCTGCTGTAAACTGTCTCGAACAGACCACTGAGATCAAGATTAAACAGGCATTGTTATTCTTCCTTTTATCAAATATAAAAACTGTTTATTGTTCCCATTTTTAGATATGTACCTGGACAAAAATAAAAAATTAAAAACAAAACTAAACAAAAAAATTGTTAAAGATCACAAAACATATCTCAAGATATTTGCCCCTGTCACATAGTTATACAGACTGATGTTCCTTAGTTTAAAGCTTTACTGGCCTAGTTTCACATAATTCATGTCATCAGAGTTCCCTAAATGCCAGAAACATTAAAAAAAAAAACATAACTGTTTCTATATTGTTAAGCTGGTGGGTACTATAGATTGTTCAACTAATAGACTGAATTGAAATAGCTGTAGAGAAAGCCTACAGGTTTGGTGGGGACAAGGAAAAAGAAAAAAGGTGTCACCAAATCTTACCTACACAGTCATATCGGCCACTGATATATTTCAGTTCAAAACCAACATGACATTTGCAGTAGTAGCTTCCAAATGTGTTCACACATCTTCGATTGTAGGGGCAGACGGCTTTGCCAGAAGCACATTCATTGACATCTAGGATAGGAAACCAGAAGGTGTCAGTGATAGCAAGAAAAGCACTCTCCCTCTGAAATACACGTGCACGTGCACACAGATATATGCACACAGAACATGTTTGCTGAGTGAATTCATATTTTTCCAGCTCTGTATACTGCATAGCATATACAATTTTTGAAAACAGAGTCAGATAGCTGCACTGTAAGCAAATTGAATACACAAACATTTAAATGTTGCATTTAAAGAAAGAGTTAAAGAATTACTTCATTAGCAAGCTCCTCCAAGTCCTGTAATATTGACCCAAATCACAGAAATGTAGTTTCCTAAGAATGCACTTATAACTAAATTGTGGGTCAAGTGTAATGATGGAACGATGCAATTTTAGCAGACAACAGGCTTCCTGGCCCTTCTACCACTGAAAGTCGTGTTACAAAGGGGCTGACAGCTCTGTTCACTGAACAATTAACATTCAGGTTTTGCTTTCACTTTCAGATACCAAATCAAATAGATACTTTGTTATTTTAGAGCTGTGGATAAACATACAGGTTGATGCTGGCTTATTGTTTCCTTTGCATTCTTAAAAATAATTAATAAATAAATGATGGACTGACAAAAATTATTGTTTTCAGGGATCACTTTCTTGCACATCCTCTTCCCCTTCCAATAAAAATGGCACCCAACCAATCAAAGAGGTGGGTGAAATGTGGATTCAGTTTGATCAGGAATTACCTTTGTCATAAAAATCTTATTTTACTACAGAGTACTAAACCTGTGATTCTAAATAAATCTTTCTGATCATTCTCAAAGAGCAGAGCCAAATTTTTAATGCACATTATTTTTTTAAAGTGCTGAACTGATTTAGGATCTATGTGGCTGAGCTTTCTAAATGTAGTTTATCAAGTTATGTACATTTAGGATAAATATACATCTAGCACCATGAGTGAAAAATATTTCTATAGCAGTAAGGAAGTAAGAATAGTAAATCACACTGATATTTCTCTATTTAAATAAAAAAAAGATTAAGAACTCTTTCAACATTCTGATTTGGTTTGACATTGCTTATTAATGCTATGTGCCCCTTGCTCTAAATATTATGTATATTTGGTACAATATAATTAAGTACAGTAATATGAGGATATACAATTTGGTGGCTGAAGTAACATGTTCAGGGTAAATATACTAAAATAAAATTATTTTTATTCTATTTTCACTATGGCATTAGGCAAACCCAGAATAATAGAGATGTGTTCTTTCTAGCACTCCAAAGTGTGTCTAGAGCATATGTGGGTAACAATGTTGTCTGAGAAACGGACATAAATGTGTACTTTCAGGAGCCTGTGATATCTAGTCAACAGACAGATTGTGATAAATGGAAATTGAGGAATTAAGTAAAGCGAGCAGCCAAGGGAAGGGACAGGGTGAGGAGGCGATGCCTGCTGCTCTACCGATGCAAACTCTTCCATTTGGGGCCAGGTGGAGTCCCGGGGATGGACACAGACACCGCGGCCCTTCCTCTGTGTCTTCACAGCTGTACTGGCAGTTTGTCATGGCGCACGTCCTAGAGTCTGAAAAAGTAGGCAAGGATTAGCCTTTTTTTCCCGAGATGATAAACAGTGCTCACTGAGAAATCATCTCTGAGTTCTGGGGCATTAAATGTAACACGTGGAATGGAATTATAGGATAAGCTCATTGTTTGAGAACCAAATGGAATCTAGGCAGGGTGGTGCCTTCGTGGCTGCATAGTCTGTTTTACTGGTCAGTATGTTGAATCTGACTGTCTTTAGGTGGGGCATGCAGCCCTCAGTTACCAGACTGCATCTGTCTCTCCTTTTGCATGAGCTCTAATCACTCCTTTATGTCACCTGGGTGCTCTCTATAGGGTTGAAATGCAACCTCTGATGCAGGTGATCAATCTGAGTAATTAGGGTATAAAAATCCATTCTAGTGATCTCTCCATGCATGTCCAGACTCAATGAGAGTCACCTGAGTCATGAGACTTGGTCTTTTAGGTGCCAGTTGTAAAACATGTGGCATATACTACTGATTAGCTACCAGAAAGCCATTTTGGATCCCCTTTTCTCTTGCTATTGCAATCATTGAGGCTGAAAAGCCAGATATTTGTTTTTTCCCAGTTTTCCTTGCAGCAACAAGGAGTGGCCATGTGACCCAGCTGTGGCCAAAGAGATATACAGATGAGTCTGCTGGAAGGAATGGGACTTCTGGTAAAGATGCTGCTGTAGATAAAAGGGCCGGTCATGAAAGAGGTGTTCACTCACTGGCATCACTCCTTTCCCCTTTGTTTTGCCTAACTTAAATTTATGTGTGATATCTGGATCTGGGGCAGCTATACTGTGACTCTGAGGCAACAAGCATGAGAATGAAATCAATACCTTGAGGATGGCAGAGACTGAGTCCATGCTGAGCTGTTGTGAAACTGCCTGCCTCCAGCTTTTCTTTACTTTTTTTTTTAAAGCAAATGAGATGATTTAGCTGGGTTTTTCTGTCACTCATTGCTAAACATAACTTATCTCACAAAAATGCATTGCCTCAGCTGGAGACCAGTATGTGTGGATCATAAGCTTCTACAATAGGGGAGCATGTTGAACATACTCCTTTCATCCATCCCATCCATAGCATACCTATCACCCAGATGGACAAAAGAGACTGCAAGGAACCAGGTAAAATAAAATCAGCATCCAGAAGAGAGGTCCAGGGCTACCTGGACACTTTGAGCTATAAACAGGAGGCACAGGCAACCCTTACATATATAGAAATAGACAAAGAGGGTACTGAGCTAGATGCACAGGCCAGGGTAATGTAACAAATACCTACCAATGGTTATATTTCCAGTTTATTCTTTCTTCTCTTCAGTTGTCTTCTTTTAAAATTAATCTTCAAAATTACCTAATTGTATCTTCCCATTTGGAGAAAGATATCTTTTTTGGCATTGACTGGGCTTTCATGGAATGTTTTAGAAACATCCATTAGCATATATCTTTTCAAAAATGTTAAATGATTACTATAAAAGCCTGATTAGTGGTTCCCACGGGGTGGGGGGTTCTGGTCAAGTTCTATTTGATAGTAGTTACATGGGTGCTCACCATGTAAGAATTCATTAAGCTATGTATTTGTCTCTTGTGGATTTGTTTAATCTATAATAGTAAGAATTTCTTTTTGGTAAGGATTTTTTAAAAAGCCTTTTTGATTGCCTGCTCTATCTCTTCAGCTTGCTTGCTAATGAAGAATCTAGACGAGTGGTGGAGTTAGGGCACTTTTCTAAGAAAGGGCAGCACAAGGATGAGCCAGGGGAGCAGTGAGCCATGCATTAGCCAAGATTTTATAATGGCACAAAAGCCCAGGATGGGCTGGGGAGTCCACAAGACTCTGCACAGTCTCCAGGCTTGTTAGGGGCTGCAGGGCAGTGGAAAGAGAGATGGGGAGAGGGGAGGGAGAAAGGGAAGCAGGCAAGGAGGATGGGTTTACCTTTTAGCTGCAACATCAAACCTGAAAGGCCTTCCTTCTCAGTAAATGAATGGAAATAGACTCACCCTCCCACAGGACATGGGTTTCTCTTTATCACAGAAGGGCTTTTCTTTTCAGGAATGTGAATCAAGAGTGTATTTGCAACAAGAGTCACTAATCTTTGAGCCTGGGCCAAAGGGCGTGAGAAAGGTAGTTGGTGGGATTGATATCCCAAGATGGAATTTAAATTTATCACCTTCCTAAAACAATATGCTTATTTTATTCAACATGTTTATTTTCGTGAAGAAACCCATTACATCTCTGCATATATATAGGAATAGAATTTATTTATTTTTCCTCAGCTAGTCTTTTTATGTAATAGCCACATTCATAAAGACAGAAAGCAGATGTGTCATCGCTAGAGGGATAGGGGGTGACTACTATTGGGGATGGTTTCATTTTGGGGCAAAGAAGATGTTCTGGAATTAGAGGTGATAGTGACACAACATTGTGAATGTATAAAATACAACTGAACTATATACTTTAAAATGGTTAACATGGTGAATTCTATGCTATATGTATTTTACCACATTTTTTTTCAAAAAGTACCCAAAGATATTTTAATGTGGGGAAAAAGTCAAGCCTCAAAGGTTGACTGAGAGCAACCTGGCTGATGACACTTACTGGCACATGTGGCATCTGGCATGAGCATGTGGCCGCTGAGGCAAAAGCACTTGTAGCTTCCATGAGTGTTCACACATCTGTGTTGGCATGGCCGGGGTTTCTCTCCACACTCGTTCACATCTGCAGGGGGCAGTTAGAACATGAGAAAGGTTACTTGAATTGGGAAACATTCAGATGTGGAACTGGATTGGCTTCCTGGGATCCCGCCCGTAGGGTTGGAGACATAAGACATGACTGGCTTCTTGTCTGACTTCATTAAAGGGTTGGTGAGGATGTGGAGTAAACAAAATGATGGTATACTGTTGGAGGGAATGTAAATAGGTACAATCACTTGAGAAAACTGGCAGAATCTACTAAATCTAGATAGAAACATACCATGACCAAGCAATTGTATTTCCAGGTGTCTACCCAACAGAAACATGGATATTGCTCACCAAAAAACTCCCAACTGAAGACTAGATACCAATTTGTATGCTCATAAGATGGAATAGTATACAACAACGAGACTGAACAAACTATAGCTACAAGCACAGTGGATGAAGCTCACAAACATGGTATTGAGTGGAAGAAGCTGGATACAATGTGTACATTTTAAAACAGGCATAACTAATCTATCCTGTGAGAGGTCACCATATGGTTGCTTGTTGGGGGTGGGGAGAAAGTGACTGGACAGGTGTAGGAGGGGTCTTTGGGTAGGCTATTAAGTTTCTGTTTCTTGATCTGAATACCATTCTCACTGGTGTTTTTGAAAATTCATTGAGCTGTACATGTTTGATACATGCGCAATTCTGTGTATACTACTTGAATAAAATGTTAGAAATATACATTTTAGACAATACTGCCTTTAATACTATCCCAAGCAGCCCATGACAGATGCCCACAGCACAGCTTCTTTTCAGTGATTATTTAGGGAGGACCTGCACTGGCCACATTGCCTTGGCTCACATCCTCTGGAGGGAGCCCAACCAGGCAGCTAGTTGTGGTGAGGGTTTAGGACAATACTGAATCCAATGTAAAGATGTTCAAAGGATATTATTAAATGAGAACAGAAGATTGTAAAACCACCTATACAGATCGATGGTCAATTTGTAAAAAAATATAAAATAAAAATGCATAGAAAAAAAGGCCTAGAAGACTGTACTCTAAATGCTAATGATGGTTATCTCTGGGTAGTGAAACTGAAGTGTAAAAACACTTCAAAAGTGTTTTTACAAAAACATTTTTGAACATGAAGAATGAATAACTTTATTATAACAAAAGTGATACAGAAGGAAAATATAACTTTGAAACTGATCATGGAGAGAGGAACTTGTGTTTAGAGATGCTGTCATGTGGGTGTCTCATGGCTTAATCCCTTCAAGGGAGATGAAAACAACGAGGTTCCGTGTAGGACAAAAATTTAGCATGGTAGGAGGCAAATGAATTGCGGAAAATAAGCAGATGCTTTTGCCTCTAAAAAGAACTATGGGGACTTTCTGATGACCTAGCCGGGCATTTGAAAGGCCCTTGTCCACTGCCTATCCCTTGTACCCTGCCATCTCCCACATGAACCCTAACTGTTTCAAAAGAGGGAGTTGAAGAACACTGATTGGACTTAATGAGAAATCCAGGAACACTCATCACTTGGCCCGAACTCAGAGTTCACGCACTTGTCTCTTAGAAGAAGCATTTTTGGGAAACAGATCAGTGGAGGTCTGAGGCCGGTTGCCATTAATGGATATACACATATAGGCTTTGATCAGGCTGTCCCAGGACAGGGAGGCTGTGGGGGGAAGACAGGCAGTGTCAAACCTGAGCCAACTGGACAACTCCTTCAATCTTAATATTTTACTGGGACTTGAAAACCAGCATGAAAAATATCTTCTCTATTCCAAATCTCTTAGAAGGCATCTTGGTACAGAATCCAAGACATCTGGAAAAACAGGTTTCCTGGTGTGAAGACCCTAGTGAGGGATACAGCTGAGTTATTACTGATGAGAGCGTGATTCTTAACACAGCTCTCTCAAGCAGCTGGACACGGTTCTAAGAAAAACCTTAGGGCACTGGCCTCTATGTTGGTGGTAGGACATAAGAGAGTCAGAGATTCCTCTCTCACGCTGTAGGTCTGCAGCTCAAAGAAAGGCGATTTCAGTGCATACAGCTATGCTCTGGGCTTGGTGGAGTGGAGTGGGTGCCCGCACAGCTCTGCAACATCATCCTCCCTTCCAGAACACCAGCAGCCGCCTTCTTTTTTTTTAAATCCTCACCCGAAGACATTTTCTATTTATCTTCAGATAGAGTGGAGGGAGAGAGAGAGAGAAAGAGAGAAACATCGACATGAGAGGGACACATTGACCAGAGCCAGGGATGAACCGCAACCAGGGTATGCACCCTTGATTGGAATCGAACCCAAGATTCATCAGTTGGCGGGCCGACGCTCTAACCGCTGAGAAAACTGGCCAGGGCACAGCTTTAATCTTAAGGGCCACCAAACTTGATTTGCTGCTCTTTGCATTATACAACCAGGGACACTTTTTGAATTATTGCAGGTTTCTTCATGCCAGAGTTGTCAACTTCAACATTGTTGACATTCAGCCTTGTTGACATTTGGGTCAGATCATTCTTTGTTGTAGGGGGCTATCCTGTGTGCTGTAGCATGCTGAGCAGCATCCCTGGTCTCCACCCATTAGATGCTGGTAGTAATTTGTTCAAATGTGTTCAGATATCCCCTGGGGTAAGGTTCCCAGATTTAGCAAATAAAAATACAGGATGCCCACTTAAATTTCAATTTAAAATAAACAACTAATATATTTTTAGTATATATAAATTCCATTCAATATTTAGAACATATGTACATTATGAAATTATTTTTTGTTTACCTGAAATTTAAATCTAACTGGGGATCTGTATTTTATCTGGCAACTCTTCCTGGAGGACAATATTATCCAGATTGAGAATTGATGTTCTCAATATCATAAATAAACTCTTCACTATCTTCAAAAAATTGCCTATGACAAAAGTCATAAATTGCCTTTTTAAATATGTCCATTAAAATAAAAAATATGTACATTATTCAACCCACCAATTTCATTTTTAGAATTTATCCTATAGCAATACTCACTGAAGGTGCAAGGATGTGCATACAATGATGTCAGCTTTAGCATTGTTTATAACGGCGAATAGTTGGAGACAACTTAGATGACAGTGGTTAAATAAAGTATTTTTTACATGAATGATAAAAGAGTTCACATTAGGGACTAGGATACAGGCTTAAAAAGTGTAAGGCAACTTGGTATATGCTGACATGGGAGACGCCCATGACAAATACTGATGTCAGGACTGGGGGTAGACACTTTTAAATTTTTTTCTGTTAATCCTCACCAGAGGATATTTTTCCATTGATTTTTTAAACAGAGTGGAAGGGAAGGAGAAAGAGAGAGAAACATTGATGTGAGAGAGACACATTGATTGATTGCCTCCCTCACGACCCTGACTGGGGCCGGGGATCAAACCTGTAACTCAGGTACATGCCCTTGACCAGACTCAATATTTAGAACATATGTATATTATGAAATTATTGGTCCACAGACCAATGCTCTAACTGCTAAGCCAAACCGTCCAGGGTAAGACACTCACTTTTTAATTTATATCCATTTACACTGTTTTCTTTAGTGAAAAGTGTGCATTACTTCAGTAGCTTGAAACTACAATAAAACTATTTGTTTAGAGGAAAAGACCTTTAATCTGGCATCTTGACAAAAGCATCAAAATGACTTTTACATTTTTCTGGGAGAAGAGATTGACTGAAAATTCTAGTTCTGAAACCACTTTAATTTGAAGATTGGAATTAAAACCTGTGAAATCCTAAGCACTATATCATGTCACAAACCACACTGCCATGATGGAAATGCTTGTGATAGGTTAGGGTAGGTTTGGACTAGGACCCTGGTCTGTTCCACTGACCTTGACTGCAGGTTTTCCCGGTGTATCCTGGGAAGCATCTACATTTGTTTGGTCCCACACACTCACCAAACTTGCAGCCGGGTTCACATGTAGCTGTGGAGAGAAAAGGTGTTTTAAGGATAAAAGAACAGGAGTAGTTAGCTACTCCTAGTTAGTCACATAAAAGAACAGTGAAATATATGCACGTCAAACTCAGCGGCCTTCTGTATGGCAAGGAAATTCATGGGCTTGTAGAGGACAATCTGCTTTCTCTCTGGTCTGTTTTCACCTTTAACATACTAGAGAGTGCCCTGGCCAGTTTGGCTCAGCGGTTAGAGCGTCAGCCTGAGGACCAAAGAGTCACGGGTTCAATTCTGGTCAAGGGCACATACCAGTTGCTGTTCATTCCCTGGCCCTGGTCGGGGTCGTGCAGGAGGCAACCAGTTGATGTGTTTCTCTCACATCGATGTTTCGCTTTCTCTCTCTCTCTCTCTCTCTCTCTCTCTCTCTCTCTCTCTCTTTCTCTCTCTCTCTCTCTCCCCTCCTCCCTCCCACTATATCTGAAGGTAAATAGGGGAAAAAATGTCCTGGGGTGAGGATTAACATACTAGAAAGTGTTTGTGAACTAAATCACCTCCCACCATCCCTCCACCCCAATGAGTGCCAAGTTTATTGTAACTGTGTTTAGCACTGCCACCTTCAGTGGCATTCAAAGAAAGATACAGCCTTCCAGTCAGACAGGCTTACATGTAAACACAAAAGATTGAATGAAAGAAGTATAGTGGATCAGCTGGAAGAGACTAGTGGGGCAAGTGCCAAGGTCCCTTTCCTTCTTCTTGTCACTTGCCTCTTTTTTCCCTTCCATATTTTCTCTCCCACTTTCCCCTTGAATGATCAAAAGCCTTTTAATGCTGTGCTTTATCAGTAAAAGAACAACCCACAGATCGGAGGCAGGGAGGATGGAAAGCTCCAGGCCTAAGGAAGGGCATGATAAGGATGATGATGATGGCACCATGATAAAGGCAGTATTTTTCTGTTTTATTCACTTCTGAATCCAGACACCTGATACAAATGAGGCACTCAATAAATATTTGTTTGCTGAATGAAGTTATGAGAGAAAACACAAAGATAGGATGTGTAACTGACTGAGTTAAAGGCAAAAAAAAAAAAAAAATAGTCAAAGATGATGGAAAGTTTGAGTCCAGCTCATGGGGAGGAGACAAGGAGAAAAAACAGTAGCTAGAAAAAAGGAAAATGGGAAAATCCAAAGAGAGGAAGGGGAGAGAGAGAAAAAATAATGAATGGAAGAGAGGAGTGCAAATAGGAATCAAGGGCCCTCAGCAGTTTTCGGATCTAGCAGGAGCTCAGAAAATAGCCATGGTATGAAAGAAAGACTCAGCAATGCCCTGAAATGCTGCTGACTTCTCTGCCCATTGATTCCCTGGCTCATAGTAGGTCTACCTCTAAGTGACCCTGTTCCTAAAGACTTAAACATCTCCCCCTTCAATCCTAGACACTAGTTTTTGTCAATGTCACCATTCATCTACTAGTTACCTGGAATCAAAATTTCAGACATTTTTATTTTTTTTCTTGTCCCCAGACCAATCAGTTACAACATTCTATCCCTGTTTCTACCACCATTCATTCATTAAGCACATATTTATCTAGCTAACTGGAGCCACTTTGCCCATAGATATCTAAGAGATGATACCACATTGCTCTCCTCACTTTTCCGGCCCTTGACCTTTTTTTCCCACCACTTTGTGGGACCAGTGCCTGACTGATATAGAAGTCTAACAGTCTAGCTCCTGGTTTCTGGGCAGGACAAACTCTGTGGTGCAATGAACACCCCAGAGCTTTTGTGGGATCATGCTAAAGCTAGACTTTTCTTGAAACCACATCTTTGCCTAGCTTCTTCTCCCATTCTCTCACTTCCTTGTGGATTTCTCCTGAGAGAAGCCCTCAATAGAATACTTGCACAAGAATCCTCTTGAAAGGCTCTGATCCTAGGAAGTCTGTTGTCAGAAACAACACTGAACCAATATTCCAAAAGCATAGCTCTGATCATGCCACATCTTGCACAAAAGGCATCAAATAATTTTTATTGTCTCTTAAATAAGGGACAGGTATCATAACCATGATCTGCCCTCTATCTCCTTTTGCAGCCTTAGTTAACTCTGTCCTGTACACATAGGCAACACTGTGGTCAAACTATATTGCCTTCTTACCCCCTTGCTTTCTGCCTTTTGCCATTTATTGTTACCCGACCTGGGTTACCCCTTCCCCACCCTCCAATGGTTAATATCCTCCAGATCATTCGAAGATTACCTTGAAGGACCCCTCCTTTCAGAAGCCTTCATAGATTTCTCCAGCCACATGAAAACTTCTGCTCAACTTTGAGAATACCACAGAACTTTGGCAGACATCTTCCATGAAATTGATCAGTCTTCATCTTATTAAATAATTAGGCATATATTTAGCTTCTATCTACTACCTGATTCTAGGTGACTTCAGAACAGGGACTTAAATATTCATCTTTGTTTCTTCTGCTTCATTTAATAGTGTTGTTAACATGTTAGATAGCAAGATAGTTTTGAATAGGAAATAAAATAATAGTAATAAATCAAATATAGAATTTTTAACAGGGAAATATGGCTCTGAATAAATCATATGTGAAAAGGTAGGGGGAAATATGCTTCCCAGCAAAATTCTTCCACTTTTGGAGACAAAAGAGATAGAATTTGATTTCCAGTATCTATTTTGTTATGGATATGTACTTGGGGTACAGCTTTAAGTTTAAATGTTAGAAAAACATATATATATATTGTAAACCTTGAAGACCTCTGATTGTTCCCTGGAAAGTTACTTTCAATGTGATCCAGATAGGAAAGCCAAACAGAATACAGAAGCAATGGTGACTAATACTCTTGCTGCCATAAGGTCAAAGCTCCAGAAAGATATTTCAATTTATAGTAACTTTGGATCTGTGATTTGAATAGCCCATCCACAGCAAAATTCAGTTTATGTCTACAATGGTCTGAGATTCAAATGGGTTTTAGAGAAAATAAAACTCTCTTGTTCAATTCTCCCTGAAACTCCGCCATCTGTAGCTTTTCATTAGTGATTTGTTCACAGACAACATATGGCTCAGTGACATACATTTGAAGGTTAATGATATGGAGTTGAGCAGACCCTGCCTGGGGAGCAGACTTAGGCAGGGCAGCAGCCAAGATCTAGAGAGCTCTGGCATCAAGGCAGGGTCTTGCGAGGAATGAATGATGAATAGATGGATGTAGGTGAAGGCCTGGGTAGATTAGGACCTCACAGGTTGGGGTCTAACTCTGCATTCTTGTCTCATTGCCATGCAGCCCACACTGTGGCTTAGAAATCAGAGACCTGGCAATCAGGGACTAACCACCCTGTTATTTGGTGTTTCAAGGAGCATATGACTGTACTATCAAGAAGGGCCATGCAAATTGGATCAAGTATGATACAGATTTTAGATATAAAAATCATGGCAACAGTATTAGCCTGAACATTTGACTGGGGAAGTAGAGGTGCCAACAACCTCTTCATCTTGCCAGACTTTCACAGTGACTATTGTTCTTGAACCCTTTGCACTTACTTGCTCCTTTAACATTTTGCTTTAAATTCTTTTGTGCCAATAGTATTATATCTTCCACAAAAACATTGAGAATGTGATCGGCTGTGTGCACCGTGGCTAAACTGCTCTGATCTAGTTATAGAATAGCCCTTTCTGAAAGCCAAAGGTCAACCTCATTTATTCACCTGAGACATGCAAGTTTTATGGCAGGAGGTGCTGAGGTTCATGTGACTGTAAGAGAGATTCCAAATCATGCGATCCACGTGTTTTTTGCCCCTTTCCACCTGACTGACTGCAAATAAAAATGTGTTATGTTGTGTCTAGAAAAAGACTAAATCAACACCTAATCCCCTTATCACCTGGTGCTCTAACAGACAGAAGTCTACAAGAAGAGTTATTGGCCCTTTCTGAACCAAGGGTAATTTATGAGGTATTTTCTATGTGTGTCAGGTAATGAGCATACTCTTTTTGTTGTTGTTGTTGAAAGTATTACAGATGTCCCCACCATTGACCCCCTCCTCCCTGTTCCCACCCTCCTCCTGCCTTCCCCAGCTTAGTGTCCGTGTCCATTGGTTGTGTCTATATGCACATAAGTTCTTTAGTTTATCTCTTCTCTCCAACCCCATCCCTCTGAGGTTTGTCAGTCTGTTCCCTACTTCCATAATTCTGAATCTCTTTTGGTCGACAGCCTATTTTGTAATGAGCATACTCTTTAATGCTTTTACTCCTTACACTCTGAAGTAGGTATTACTCTCTCTATGTTTCAGAGGAGGAAATTGAGCTTCAGTGAGCTTATCCACCTTGCCCAAGGCCAGCAACATCATTTTGGTTCTAAGGGCAATGCCCCTTGATCATAATATTATCGGTGTGAGAATCCATCATTCTAACTGATAAAGTCCCAGGGGGATGTCTAACTTTCTTTATATGGGAAGCAATTATGATCTTCAAATATTTTTTCAAATATTTTTATACCCTTCTTATCTCGTCACAAGGAAACTGTGATGGTGGAAGGTTTTGAATAATATTGAGCATGTAGGAGTGGTGTCAATGTCATGGATTTTGGATATTATCAAGTTCTTCCCTCACTTATCCAGATATTGTTGAACAAGAGAAAGAGGAGCAGGTTGGAGTAAGGACAGATCAGCAAAAAGAAGGCAGCATTGCCATTCTTAAAAATAGCTAAATGTTTGTGCTATTATAGTTTATAATCTAATATGATCCACACCATCACCTAAAGTGTATAAGACATGCAGTGGTGTATGTGTTCATTTAGCAGATAAAACACTGAGGTTCAGGCATATGTCACTTGGGCCACGAAGGAGTGCACCCCAGCTCAGTCAACTAGGAGGAATGAATGTGGATTTGATTCCTCTACACTACGAGTGTTGGTTAGTATAGAAAGTAATATAAAAAACAAACACCACAAAATTCTTCATAAATTCCTGTCCTCCCCAACCCTCTTAAAATGATCAGGGGCCTTTCTTGGAGTTCCTAACACATAGTCTGAGAAACAATGCCCAAGGCAAATTATGGTTCCTTAGTATACAATTTGTACAAAGAATCAAAAAATACTTAAAATCTTTGCATATATGCATGTATCCCTTGAAACTATCTAGAAACTGGCACAATGGACTTTCAAAATGTGAGTAACAAAATTATAGAGTAAATGGCTTACTTTCATGTCTGTGATGAAAGCCCACTTGTTGTCTGATTCTTAATTAAAAAGTACATATCATTAGAAATCAATTGCAAAAAATTATAACTGGAAGGAGGTATTTATTGGCTTATTTTTACCCAACTCAGTTTCTTCAGATTAAAACAATAATGAACAACCCAGTCATGCTCACTAACATAGCAACAGAAATAAGTGACAAGGCACGTCTCCTAAAACAAACCATGTCTAGGGTAATGGCATCAGCCACATTTTGGATGGGAAGAGATCTCACAGGAACCCAGAGCTTGGGTGTTGGTAGCTATCCATGTCCCTCTCTTGGGGAACCCACAGCTCATGCTGTCACCGATAAAGACCTACTACTTGAGCACAGGGTGGCTTGAATTTTTATAAAGTTACCTTCACAGACTCCCTTGCTGCTCCTTCTCCAGCCATAGCAGCAGGCCAGTTTGGTTCCATAGCGACAGACCCCAGGTTGGAGTGCTGGTGCCAACAACACATGATCTCTTGGACTGCGGACAAAGCCACATATTAGTATTGAGAAAACAGAAAGGGCAACAGAGACCCCTCCCTGCTACTAAATGAGTAGCAGAGATGTCAGCTACCTGGTTAATTTCAATAAACCTGCCAGAAGTGCTAAATTCCACTTTGAAAACTTGAATTTGGGTGGCCAGTCTGTGCTACCACTCCTTGCCAGCCTTCCCCAATAATTAGTGTCATACATTTCCTTCTTCCCAGAGTTAAAAGAATTGAGTTACATAATCTAGAAAACTAGGGCACATGAAAGTGGCCAAAAGTTTATGTTCCCCGTCCTCACAGGGTGCCAATTTTCAAGTCTGCTCCACATAGACACAGTGGCTAGCCAGGTCTGTGTCTGTCTCAGACCTGAGGGTGGTAATGTGACTGCCCCGCCTGGTGGTTCTGTCCCAGACAAGAGCACTGCACTTTCACCCCACTGGCCACCTGGGAACCCTTGAATAAACTAGAAGGTCCACACACTATAATCAGGTAAGAGCTGGAAGGGCTCTCAAGACCCCTCAGCCAAGTCCTCCCACGTTACACATGAGGAAACTCCAGCTCAGTGGAGAAGAGGTCCCTCCCCAGCAGAGCGGTGTCCAGGATAACAACCCCGGCGCCCTCTCCTTCCTCTCTGCCTCCTGGAAACACTATTTGCTAAACTCTTTAACCATACAGCACGGGTGGGCCAACATTTTCTATAAAGGGTCAGATGGTAAATATTTTATGCTTTGTGGATTATATGTCTCTGTCCAATTGCAAAAGTAGCTGCAGGCGATCATAAACAGGTGAAGTGGTTGTGTTCAATCAAACTTATTTATGGACACTGAAATTTGAACTTAATATACTTTTCACATGGCATGTAATAATATTCTTCTTTTGATTTATCTTTAGCCATTTAAAAAGGTAAAAACCATTCTTAGCTCATAGGCCACGTGAAAACAGACGCCCACCCAGCCTTGGCCTGCAGGCTGTACTGTGCTGACCCCTGATCAAGTGAGCCCTGCCATCAAGTGCCCCTAAGTATTCTGGACCATGGATAAAGCTCACTACATGTTTACCTACTTACTGGCCTAATATGGGACAGAGTTGCTACCAGATTCTGGAAGGAAAGACTTGAGTTGTATATTTTATGGAGGGCTGGGGTAGTTTCCACATGCATATTAAATACACTGTAAAATGTTTCCTGGGCTGCTTAACAGACAAGGAATGCACATTTTACCATGTGCTTTCTGCTGCAGGACTAGATTTTATGCAAGTTAATAACATCTGAGTCAAGGTCAGGAAGTTAAACAACCTTGCCGTTTTCCCTCGTGGTCTGCCTCCCACCAACTTGGTTATTCAGTTAAGAGCTACAAAGATACGGTCTGCAACATTTCATTAATTGAGAACACCAAATTCAAGGATGATTCATTCTTTACTTTTTCTTGAAGGGACTATTATTTTCATTCTCTAATGGAATTAATTTGGGGGATTTATAAGTCATTCACTCAATCTCTGAATGGGGTTTTTCAATCTCTACATGACCAATATTTTGAGCCAGATAAATCTTTGTTGTTGGAGGCTGACCTGTGTGCATTATAGGTGCTTAGCAGCATCCCTAGCCTCTACCTATACACCAGTAGCACCTACCCCTCTACTTGTATCAGCCACAAATGTCTTTAGACATTGCCAAATGCCCCGTGAAGGACAAAACTGTCCCTGGTAAGTACTACTGCATTAAAGTGAAACATTTACTGAGCACTTGCTATATTCCAAACACTTTCTTAGGCACATAGAGTGATGAAAATGACCTGATATTTGCTCTCCTAAGTTCATACTCTACTATAAATGTATACATTACAGTAAAGGACAGCCTGATAAGTAGCATTACAATGCTCTCAGAAAGAGTTGAGGCTGAGAAAGAATACAGCTGTCTGTCATAACCTAATTTGAATATTACTAACAAGGGATACCATAATCCTGACCCAGTCTACATGTAATTAACAATGCCCAAACAAGAAACCACAGACTATTGAACATAAAGTATGTTGAGCAAATAAGTGCTAGTCCAAACACAGTGGTGCATTTAAGAATTTTTTTTTTTGCATTTTAAAAATTGATATATAATTCACATAATGTAAAATTTATTATTTGAAAGTGTACACTTCAGTGAGTTTTAGTATATTCACTGTGCTATGCAACCATCACCACTACCTAATTCCAGAACATTTTCATAACTCCAAAAAGAAACCCCACACCTAATAGTAGTTAGTCCCAATTCTCCCCTCCTTCCATCCCCTAGAAACCACAAGTCTGTTTTTTGTCTCTGGATTTGGCTATGCTGACATTTCACATAAATGTAATCATATACTATGTGGTCCTTTTGTGTCTGGCTTCTTTCACTTAGCATGTTTCCAAGGTTCATCCACACTGTGGCATATATCAGTACTTCAGTCCTTTCTATTGCTAAATAATATTCTACTGTATTAATAAACCACATTTTGTTTAACCATTTACAAGGTGATGACATTTAGTTGCTTCCACTTTTTGACTATTATGAATAATGCTACTATGAGCAATTGTGTATGTTTTGTGTGGACATATATTTTTATTTCTCTTAGGTGTATACCTAGGAGTGGAAAGGTTGGGCCATATGTTAGCTCTATGTTTAACTTTCCGAGGAACTGCCAGATGGTATTCCAAAATGTCTGCATCATTTTACATCCACACCAGAAATGTATGAGGGTTCAAATTTCTCCACATTTCACCAGCACTTGTTATTGCCCATTCTTGTGGGTGAGAAGTGGTATTTCATTGTGGTTTGGATTTACATTTCACTGATGTTTAATGATGTTGAGCATCTTTCATGTGTTTATTGGCCATTTTTGCAACTTCTTTGAAGAAAGGTCTATTGAGGTCCTTTGTTTATTTTAATTGGATTATTTGTCTTGATGTTCTTAAGATTGGAACACAAAGATTGAAACCAGTCAGTAAAAACACCTATCTCCATACCTTAGTGAATAAGGTAATATAACTTTGTCTCACTCTGCAAAAAATTTCCACCTAGATCCTCAGAAACTCAGTCAGTTTCTTGACCATACATGCCTGTAATAAACGTTGACAAAGTGCCTACATCTCTTCCTTTAACAGCATACAGCTGATGTTTGGGGAGCAGAGTGACAGGAGGAATTAACTTTGCCTGGGAAAGAGGAGGAAGGTGTCACGGGGGAGTGACACATGAGTTGGATTTTAAAAGAAAATATAATGAACAGGAAAGCTATATGGGAGAATTTCTGCCTATGGGATTTTAATTTCATATTTTTATAAGGAATATAGGATTCATTTAATTAGATTTTGACCTATCGACAAAACCTTAGAGACGACCTGCCAACTACTTTACTGAAGGTTTGCAAAAAATATGCTCCACAGCTCTAATAGGAAGGGTCTTCCCTATTACCTGATGCCAAAAAAAACCCAGCTTAATCCTAAACAGGGCATTGGTATGTATTGAGCACTGTGTTAGGTACTGTGGATACAAAGATGGATATGGCAGACAGAATTTCTGATAATGAGCTTTTAGACAAGAAGGTGAGGGTAAGAGAGGCACTAAATATACTTAGTCAGCTTTAGAAACTTCAAGCAAAGAAACATAATCTGTTCGAAAGGATCCAGATGTTCTCTCTGAGGGTGAAACCTTTCAATGAGACTGAAGGTGAACAGGGGTCAACCATATGGATTGAGGGAAAGAATATTGTAGACAGAGGTAACAGAATGAGTGTGGGCTAAGAGGTAAGAGACACCTTGCTTGTGCTTGAGGAACAAATAGAAGACCAGAGGACTGAACAAAGGGAGAGAGATGAGCCCCAAGAGGTGGACTGAAGCTACATCGTGGAGGGTTGTGTGAGTCAAGTTAAGACTATGGAGCCTCATATCCTAATGCCAATAGGACAGCACTGACAGGTTTTAAGTAGGTAAGTTATTTTATAAAATTTTCCTTTAGAAAAATATTATTATGGCAGAAATCTGGAAAATGGACTGGAGGGAGGTCGAATGAAAGCAGGGATACCAGTTGACTTAGAAGAAAGATGTTGGTGGCTTGGACGTCAGCAGCAGCAACAGAGGTGGGGAGCAATGGAAGGAATCAAGGTGGAACCAAAGGACTTGGCAATAGGTCAATCATTCATTTGTTCATTATTTATTGAATACTTACAATGTGTCAGGCACTGAGTTAGTCTCCAGAGGCTCAGCAGCAACCAAGGGGAACGTAAAATCTTTGCCCTCAAGGAGATCATATTCTGGCCAATTGGATGGGGAGTGTGAGAGGGATGCATTACTAGGTAGACAGCAGTGTTGTATTTCTGGAATAAGGAATATGGATGGAGGAACATGCCAGGGAATAAAGTGCATGATGGGTTCTCTTTGGGACATGCTGATTTTGAGGGCTCATTAGACAGACAACCAAGGGTAGATGGTGAATAAGAAGTAGGATATTGGGACCAGAAGTCCAGGAAGCAGGACAAGATCTGGGAGTCATCTGCAGGTAGCTGGTTACAGAATCTATGGGGATCAATGTAGTGTGAGAAGAGAAGGAAACTTAAGGCAGAACCTCAAGGAAACTAGCACTTGAGAGGGGGACCAAGGAGAAGGAAGGTCCAGAAAGACACCCAGGTAATGCTCAGAAAGGTAAAAGGAACACCTGGTTAGTATGGTGTCAGGAAAGCCAAATGCAGAGTGTTTCTAGAGAGAACAGAATCAGCTCTGATGTTGAGAGGCTGTAAAATATGGTGACTAGGACCGTGGTCTCCTTTCTGAGTTTGAATCCTGGCTTTACTATATATTAACCTGTGACTTTCAGCAAGTAGCTTCATCTTTCTTTGCCTCAGTTATCTCATTTTTAAAATAGGAATAACTATTTACCTTAAGGGTTTTTGTGATAATTAAATGATTTAATATATGTAAGGGCTTGGAACAATGACCAACACAGTAAATGCTCCCTAATTGGGTTTTGTTTTTA